GGTTAGAGGTCGTGGTGCGAGGCTGCTAACATCCTCCTGGTATTCTGATTTGCCGCTAAACTACTGTGAGGAGCTAACTGGCCCTGGTGGTGGGGTGGATATTGTGGCCCAACACCTGTAGATGGCCAGGGGGCAGGGTACTGGTGAAGCGGGGTCTGTCCAACACCTGTAGATGGCCAGGGGGCAGGGTACTGGTGAAGCGGGGTCTGTCCAACACCTCTCGCTTCTTATCCAAGGTCCTATATAACTGACATATATCGCATTCTCCAAGAGGACTACTATACCCTTAGACGAAGCAAATACCAAATTGGGGCTGTTGTTTGTAAATATATCCATCAACACACGGCCCATTTATACTGTTAAATATTTCGAAACTACAACACGTTTGGAGCGACGAGACCGGGAACATTGATTTTTTATTGAAAACTATCCAGAAGACTTTAATGGTGATGGGTTGCTGTGTCAGTTTGTGAATGGTCGTGTTTGATTGTGACTAGTTTAGACTCGGGGATAGACACTCATTCACTGGTCCTGTGATAATGTCACCGTAATGCACCGGTCCTGTGGAGCAACAATAGGACGTTGTCAGGATGTGAACCGAGTATTCAGTCTCTCTCTCTCTTTGTTTCACTCGCGGTAAAAGGAAAAAATGATAAGGTAGGAAGATGATGAGGTGGTCAGTTAGGTCCCCAGTCCTAATTGGCCCCAATTTGACCATTAGGAGTGATGCCTTGTCCTCGTGGGCATCAATCCTTGTTGGACCCAAACCTAATGAATGGGTTTGGGTTAGGTCAGTCCCTATTAGGATAAGGGACCACATGACCTGCAACCAGCGGCGGGGGTTGTGGTGAGTGTTGGTGCTCCTGAGGTGTGCATGGCCCGCCGCGCCCTGTATGACCATTAACTTGTGTAGAGTTGAGCGAGTGTTGGTTTATAACTGGCGGAAGTGTGGGTGGGTGGTCGTGGGCGTGACAAGAGGACTCGGTACTACCCCCCAACGCTTTAGGTGCATTGTGTAAACTGCTGGTGGCGTTGATGAAGGAGTTCGTGGGTGCTGGTATGTGATGTATCTGATCTGGCACACCGCCTGCCTCACCCGCCCACGCCCACCCACCCACCCACCCACCCATCCCTCCACTAAACCTTCACTTATGACTCCCACCCTCTCTTCCAAACCCTCTATTCTTTCTCTCCCTCTGTACTCCCCCCCTCATACCACCGTACTCTCTCTCTCTCTCTCTCTCTCTCTCTCTCTCTCCTGTCACTGAAAGTCGTGCCACTTATTGGGTCAGCGGGAGGTCGGTACACAGTGGGGGGGGGGGAGGAGAGAGTTTCCTGCCAAATAGGTCCCGGTCCTAGACACGAACCCAACCTAGGCAGTGCTTGTCAAGGGCTGTCCGTCCGATATACAAGTCAAGTCGACATCATGGGCCAGGAGGGGTTACATTTACCTATTCTAAGATCACGCTGGGAGTGAAAGCTGTCGGTTGATAAAGGAGTCGTATGGTGGCTGTTAGTAACTGATGTTTGTGAACCCTCGCCACAGCTGAAGCCTTGTGGGGTGTGAAGCTAAACTAGAATAAACATGACTGCTATCGACACCATATTTACCCATTTTTTGATCGTAATGGACCATAAAGCCTTACATGGAGGTCGTATCTCAACTGTTAGTGGCCGCCATTAGGGTACGTGTTAGATTAGGCCACAGTATTATACCCGCGTCCTTCAAGTGGAATTAGTGAGGAAGAAAGATGGACACACACACAGAGGCAGGCAACACACACACACAGAGGCAGGCAACACACACACACAGAGGCAGGCAACACACACACACAGAGGCAGGCAACACACACACACAGAGGGGCAACACACACACACACACACACACACACACACACACACACAGAGGGGCAGGAAACACACACAGAGGGGCAGGCAACACACACACACACACACACACACAGAGGCAGGCAACACACACACACACACACACACACACAGAGGCAGGCAACACCTCCAGTTTCCCCCGCCTAGAGACGGGGACGAGTGGAGTCACACTGACGTATTCTACAACAAAACCCAGGCGATAATTCCTGTCGTCTTGTTTAGAGCTTGGGGCTTCCAAATCAAGGTTGGTGGCGCTCTTGTTAAGTGCCCCTTCCCCACACACCCCCCCCCTTCCTGCCACACACCCTCCCCCCATCAAGTATTACGGTGACCCTCTGTTAAGATTCACCTCACAACCTCCCTCTGCACTTCCTCCTTCAAGACTTGCGGGCGCCCCTCTCGAGAAACCCCCCACCTCCCTCTCCCCCCCACCTCCCTCTCTCCCCCACCTCCCTCTCTCCCCACCTCCCTCTCTCCCCACCTCCCTCTCCACCCACCTCCACCTCTCCCCCTTCCTCGTAGCAGAGCTTAAATTAGACAAGAGATGATTTAGATTATAGCCGCGTGGTGTTGAGTAGGTCTTAATTTTCTCTCTCTCTCTCTCTCTCTCATAATTATTTTCAGAATGAAGAAATCGTCACTGGGGTACGACTGAATGCAAATAACTAATTGTAGAACTCCCAGTCCCAATAAACGCTAACCTAACCTAACGTAACCATTAAGGATTAATTCGCAATACGCCCTCGATCCTCGTAGTCAGGATTGATCAAGTGAGGATCTCTTTAGAACATCGGGGGATCAGTTGACAGGCCGACACGTTATAGACATCCTCAAAACAGCCTTAGACACACACACACAGTCGGTCTATAGAGGTGATGAACTTTCTGGAGAGTTCAGTTCCCCAGGTAGCTAACACTCTTCTCGTCCACAAGCATTAGGGCCCTGTTGTTCTACCTTGGCCTCGAGTTCTTCCTTGTCCTCAGAGGCTGTTAGGACTTGCAGGTTTTTTGAGGCTTTCCCGGGTGTGTCTCCGGCCAGGGTGTGAGGTGTGCTGCGCTTAACTCTCGACAAAAACTAGAAAGGAAGCCAAAAGTTGGTGGCCTCACAAAAAAGTTGACCGCGTGCCACGTGTGAGTGACGGACGGAGGGAGGACTCCAAGACGCGGTGGGCGTGGTTTTCCCCGTCGTTTGGTGGGGAAGATTTGATGTTCCGGGGTAGTTCTTGGCAACACGGGGCTGACGTGTGAGGGTTTACCATAAATTTATAGGAGAATTTGATATTTGATTATATTGTTAATTGAGGTACTTACCCGGTATACTTTTACGAGTACGGATTTAATTACGACAGCCATTCTTAACCATGGTTCAGACAATGTATAATTTGATATTGTCTCATCCTTTACACACACACAAAGACACACACACACACACACACACACACACACACACACACACACACACACACACAGAGGAATTAAAGGCACGTATTTATTTAACTGTTGATAATTGGGTTTATCCGATAGCCCCGATAAGGGAAGTAAACATGGCAGTACACATGACCAAGTGATGTGTGTTAGAACTAATCAATTCTTGTGTTTAGCCGTTCAGTTATAGTGTGTGTGTGTGGGGAGTTACAGTGTATTTAGTATCATAGTTGGCCAAGACTACTGCTGATGGGCATCACGATCACAAATGTGGCCACAGCTATATTTCGCTTACGATTTGATGATAAACTGACCTAGAGACAAACACATTGTTTACACCACCGTCGTTGTCGCTGCGGGAAATGTAAAAACACTAATGGATGCGTTACTCCGCGTGGCGTCCTCTCACAACATTTCCTCCGTGATTGGTTATTACGGCCTGAGCCAAGATGTCTCGGTCCAGCCACAGGTGTAGGGTATATGGGAGTGTAGGGTGATGGACGAGGGTTGGCTCACCTCCACCTGCTTCACTACTCAGGTGAAATAGTTGTAACCAGTACCACTCAGGCTGGGTGGTGTGTGGGGGGTAACTCCTGTGGTGTACTCCCAGACTACCACCTCGCCTTTTGGCCCCTCAGAATTAAACGCCTTTTGGCTCCTCAGAATTAAATCCCCCAGAAACGTGAAGAATGAACTCGAAATACCGACGACTTCCTGAACGCCATCGTTGGCAGGGAAAATTATATCCCACTGAGAGAGGCAGTGTGTCCAGGAATGTGGGCCGCCTCTCCTCCCCACATCATACTAAAGTAACTGAGGGAAGTATGGGTTAGTGGCGTCCATGACTAGTGTGATGTGTGATAGTATAACGTGTTGGAAGATAACATGAAACTGAAAGATATCGGGATATTTTGATTTGTTGTCGCTCTGATTTTATTTTTTTATTTTTTAGAATATCATAAAAGAATTCTGAGGCTCACGGGATTGTCAGGCTATTGTATACAGACGTGACTGGGTGATCACCTAAGTTAATGTTTATGAAATCATCAGCCTCAACCTGTGAAATTCAACCTGTTGCATTTATGTATGAAAACTTCTTTGATTATAATTAACGTCTTGAACGATCCTGGAAAAGATTTGGAATTTTGAGTTACCTGAAGTGTGGGAACCCTTCCTCTAGCGGTCATCGTGTACTGATTTTGAGTTGCTTGTTAGTGCAGATAAGTAAAGGATACAGGAGTCTTGGGTTTATGTAGACCAGGTATCGTAGAGAGGAAAGTTTAGTGAGGTTGTGCTGAGGCTTATTAATACTGATGCCCATTTGACCTGCCGTAACAGTCAGGAGGCCTCGGGAAATGTTGGGTTGGTGGTGATGACCTCCCATGGTTGTCCCAGGTGGGGGGTACGATGGTAGTGGTGTGCTATGGTGGAATGGGCGAACAGGTGAAGGATAGGCAAGAGGGCCAGGAGTGGGGGGGGGGGTAGTTGCGAAGGTCACGTGAGGGATCTACACGACCGCTGTCACACGTAAGCGTCACTTCAATACAGACATGTTTATACTTACTCCACCTGTCCTGCGTCTCGGTGATGGAGGGCTGACACCGGCGCCGCTACCACCACCACCACCACAGTAAACTTCACTATGCTCATTAGAGTTTACCGTAGATGTGTACTCCTTGTGATCCCCAGCCACGGTGGACACTACTTTGAGAACCTTGTTGAGGCCGAGACGAGGAATGATGCGACGATACTCTTAAGAATCTGTGTTGTGTTGGGGACGGTGGGGCGGACACCAGGTTGTTCCAGGTGAGTATATTTAGTGTCCCGTCGGCCGCCATCACTGAAGGCGGCTCTTCACTACCAAAAAGTGCTAAATAAACAACCACTGCCTCGGTAATTAATGTGATGACTCTAACTGTGGTGTGTTGGTCGTGTCCTTGGTGTTAATTGCCTAATGATTGTGTAAGAGACTACGCACTTGGTGCCTCACTCTCTCCATCCTGGTGCCCTGTGAGGGATCATAAGTGCTGCTCTCGTGTCTGAACCCTCATCAAGGCTCCTGGTGAGTACGGGAGCCTCACGTTGTTGGCGCGTGTCGTCAGGTACGGCACACACGGTGAGAAATTGGGTTGACTGGTGCACGACACTTTACACGTATGAACACACATTATCTACCTATACGCCTGTGTACCTTCACCACCTACTCACTACTTTACCTCGTCAGCCTGGTGGAGTACAGTGAAACCTCCCTATAACGGACTTGTATCTCCATATAATCCGTTAGATGGGAGTTTCATGTCTAATGGGTCCTGATTATAACGAACTTTTCATCTCTATATAATTCGTTAGATGGAGGTTTTACATCTAACGGACCATTGTTATAACGGATTTTCTTCTCTTTATGGTCCTTTAAATAGAGGATTCACTGTATTTATAATGTGTGTGGTATAGTAACAAACGAAATGGCTGCCGAGTTAATTAGTTGAGTTGATTTATGTATGTTAATATGTAGAGTAAGTACTGGAGGGTGACCGTACCAGATAGCTGTGGTGCTGTGAGGAGTGAAGGCCGAACATAACTTGACCATCTTTCATACAACCAGTGAATTCGTTTACAACACACACACACTCACCAAAACCAAGGTCTGCCGTCACCTCCAGTATCTGACCATTGTTGCTGCAGTTGTTTCAGTTCTGTCCTATGTAAACTTAGGCTTCACCTTCTAGTATACAGTTTATATAAGGCTAATAAATCGTGTGGGAAAGTCGAAGTATATTTTGAGATAAGTCAATTGTATGGTTCAAAATAACAGTTGAGGAAAGGCAGGAGTTTAGGTGCCTGTACTGTACACATTTAGCGGAGAACTTTAACACACCTGAGGGTTTTTTCACTTGGGTTCGTTTACCTGGGCTCTCATTAGTGGACGCGAAGGTAGAAAACTGTCTCACCTTAATTTATGTCCGTGGGGGCTAGTAAATATATAATGTGTACGAATTTGTTCCTCCAAGCCGTGACGTGTGGGGGTGAGGTAGGAGGAAGTGGGGGGTCCTTAAGCTAGTGTTTACTGTACTGTTAATGGATCTTGGTTCAGTGCGGTACTTTATAGACACTGGTATATGCAGGGTGACTTGGCCGGTCGGTGTGAGAGGCGTGGCCGACGGGGGGGAATTAAGGTCGGGAATCTAGGATGTTGCGTCTGGGATATTGTCTGTGGGTGGGTGGGTGGGTGGGGAGGATGGGTTACACCAGCAAGAGAGAGTTGTTCCTGGGTGCTAGACGTCGATAGTGTTGGCGGGGAGAAAGCTGTTCATAAGCTGTGGGTGAGAGTTTCCCCTCCTTTGGTTGGGTGTTCACACGTTACAGTTTAGTGGGCTGGTGTGATGACTAGTACTGTAGGTGCAGGGAGGGAGGGTGGGGCTGATAGCGTTTAAATAGACGTTCATAGACTGTTAGTTGTGGTTTATCAGTATGTATTGTATCAGCCCGGGAGACCACGTGTTGAGTGGACGTCACGTTGTAAATCTTGTTGTCTTTAAAGATGATTAGCGCGGTAATTGTATACAGTAATGATGATTAATGCAGTTTGTCGCTGGTGATTATGTCGTTTATATTTATGAGAATCGGTAGTGAGGGAGGAAGCTGTGGTGGAGACTTGGGGACGTCTCAGCCGTGTTGACTACAAGTGTTGGGGAGCTCACCACCAAGTGCAAGACAGACAAACGGGTTTAGATTAAGCGACACTTTCTTGTTTATATTCAGGGATGATATGTCAGGGTTAATACTTTAATGCCTACCTCTCTGGCACATGGCTTCTACCCTGGACCTAAAGCTGTGGTTATTGTGGTAGAATGTTAGGTGTGTGTGTGTGTGTGTGTGTGTGTGTGTGTGTGTGTGTGTGTGTGTGTGTGGGGTCGCCTCAGACCTGCACTACGAGGATGGGCTGTATTGCAGTGTTTCCTCGCCGAGTATATTTTGACTCCCTCCCCACACACACACACACAGAGCTGTTTGTGTGTAAAAGAATGAATCGTGAACTGTTGATCACCTAATAATTATGTGAGTGAGAGAAATATACACCCTATTTTCTTCTCAACTTAGAATCATAATTGTGCTTTTCATTTGCGTGTTCAAAATCACTGCTGCCCCCAAGACACACATGTATTTATAACTCGTACTAGTCTACACCTTACTATTTATAGTTTATTGAGGCTAAATAATCAAGCGCAGTTTCAAAGTTCTCTCACTAATGTTCTCTAGACGCACCTTCCTGTCCTTCAGTTTTAGGATATGCAGATTATACTTTAAACCTCACTACTAAATTACAGTTAATTAATGGAAGATGCCTCAGTCATGCCTCCAGTAAGACGTATAACCTAGACGGGACATTCCTCAGGACAGTAAGTAGTGCTTGAGTAGTGTGGTTGCTGCTGGGGCGTCGTCGTGGTTGATAGGTGGTTGGTAATGACATTTTAACGCGGGTGGCGGGGCAATTGGTAATGTACGGTACAATGGCTCGTTAAGATGCTTGGCACTGGCATGGTAGGTGGGTGGTAGCAGGTGCTCCTCCGCGGGTCCTGACGTCACCTTTCACATTTTCTCTCTACTCTTTCTTTACGCCCTGGAGTAAGTATAGTTATTTACTAAAGGGAATAGTTAGACAAGGACCAGCTCGTATTGTTTAACACATGTCTTCCTGTTCTACACCAACGCTGGTATGTGTGGTGTGGGCGACTGACGTAGCAGCTAGGAGGTGAGGAAGCTACTGTAGGGTGTGTGTTACAGAAGATGTGGTGAGTGAGGCGGGGAGGGAGGGAGGTAGAAAGAGAGAATGGGAGGGAGGTGGTGAGAGTGAGGTGAGGGAGGGAGGTGGTGAGAGTGAGGTGAGGGAGGGAGGTGGTGTGAGTAAGGTGAGGGAGGGAGGTGGTGAGAGTGAGGTGAGGGAGGGAGGTGGTGTGAGTAAGGTGAGGGAGGGAGGTGGTGTGAGTAAGGTGAGGGAGGGAGGTGGTGAGAGTGAGGTGAGGGAGGGAGGAAGATGGTGTAAGCGAGTAGGGGTAGGGAGATGGTATGAGTGAGTGGGGTGGGGTGTAAGTGGTGGTGGTAGTGTGGCTGGCTGGCCGCAGTAGTTGTGCGAGTGCTGTTGGCGCCAGATCTGTGCCCTGACTCACCCCCCTCTACCCTTCCCCACCTCTTTCTTTCCTCTTCTTACACCTCCAGCAGCAGTCCAGGTGGTGAGGGACGTGGTGGTGATGATGATGGTTGTATTTATGGTATTGGTGAGCCTCGATGACGCCACCCTCTTGGCACTGGTGGCACTGATGACTGACTAGCAAGATAGACGGTGACCAAATTACTTTTAAGTTCTCTCCTTGTGGCACCACCGCGGAAGTGCGTAAAGGGACCAGCTGATGAGCCGGGAGTGGCGCGAGATTGTAAAAAAAAAAAAAAACTACCGTCAAACATGTAGATGTATGTATAAGTAGTTACAGTCCAAGTATGGAGGAGAGTAGGCGAGGGGGTGGCGGATCCTTAAGGCAGCGGGGTGTTGGTGCAGCCAGGGTAACATCCCCCGCTACCACCAGCCAGGGAATGTCCTGCTTACTCACCAGGAACAGTTTACCTCACGCTGGTCTCTGTGTAAACGTTCTTCTCTTGTTTATATACTACACAAGGGAGCTTAGGGAACCATCGTCTGTTGGCCGAAAGACTATGATCTGGTCTGGTGGATCGCCTGGACGTTGCTACTGATGGGGAGAGGCAACTGTGAGGGTTGGTGGGTCCACGGCGCCACAGGTGCTGGCGGAGACGCTAACATACACAACAAGGTTAATGGGAACTGGTACAGAAAGTAGCTTATTCTCGGGACGTTTCTCTTATGTTAGAAGTTTTAATAGTGGTTAGAATAATTACTACCATTAAAGTGTCACGTATGACGTTATTGGCCGGGGTAATCACAAACTTATATCATCAATGAGGGTAAATGAACGAATTCTGTACACCCAGAAGTAGACCACTTGTAGCCACGATGTAATTTGTCTAAGAACTTGTGACCTTTGGTGTAATACGATCTTAAAGAGAATTACTGGACAAAGACGGTGACATCAGCGCACTGTGAATGTTAAAACTTCCCTTCTATTTATGTTTATTCACCCAAACACCGCAGAGGGATATATGGTCATCACATTTAACGCTGCACAGTGGTGGTAAAGCCTCTTACACCTGTACTCCAAGAAAAATCTGGGAAAGTTTGAGTTTTTAACTTTTTCGGTTTTACGAGAATGCCAAGAAACGTTGTCACTACCCGGGTTTAATTTTCTTCCATTTACGTGTCCACATTTAGCTCTCGAGTGGACAAACGTTCGGTGTCGTTCGCGGGTCTTGTTATAAAAAAAAATATATTAAAAATTCACCTGGTACTGAACTGCATATGGTCAGACAACAGAGAAATGATAATACCGGGACGCTGAAATAAAGTAAATAAATATATGCAATTATGATTCAAACGTGTACATCGATGAGGAAGCTTGCAAGTGTGTAAATAATGTAGCTCTTGAAGTTAAAATGGATGGACTGTGTAAACTCGTGGGTTACCAGACCTGAGAGGCGGTCACTGAAATGTTATGAGAGAGAGGTTTCCTTGCTTTAAATCACCCGGTAAGGCGAGTAACGAGGTACATCAGATAAGGTTCAAAAGTTGGGGTCAGAATATTGTGGCATTAGACCAGGTGATCATTGTTAGTTTCTGTTGACGATTGGTTGACACACACACACACACACACACACACACACACAGAGAGAGAGAGAGAGAG